TTAAGTAGTCGAGATGACGGAAGTTGGTATCTAACCAGTAGATCTAGAAACCGGTAGGAAACCAAGTCTTGGAAGGCGGTNGGATTTTGAAATTTTAGTAAATTCGACCCTTTTTGGCCCCACCCATCAGCCCCTTGGGGTCAGTCAGGGCTCATATGTGCTTATTATCAAACTGCTACCTAATACTGATAATGCTAACCCAAATTGAATTACTTCCAATGGAAATTAAACAAATGTTGGTCCAAAATGTGATTTCCCTAAATAAACTATAGTAAACTTTACCCCCTCCCCAGGAGAAAACGTGAGACCCAAGGGTCACAAAAATCACAATTTTAGTAAACCACATTAAGACCCTTCTATCTATGAAGAGTATTTGATTTNAGTAAAGTTTACCCCCTCCCCAGGGGAAAACGTGAGACCCGAGGGTAAAAAAAAATGACAATTTTGGTACAGCACCTTAAGACCCTTCCATCTATGGAGAGTATTTGATTCTACCATATCTGGGTCTTGAGTAGAAGATTTTTGAAATTTCAGTCAATTCAACCCTTTTTAGCCCCACCCATCAGCCCCTGGGGGTCAGTCATGGCTCATATGTGCATACTATCAAACTGCTTTCTAATACTGATAATGCTAACCCAAATTTAATTACTTCCAATGGAAATTAAACAAATGTTGGTCCAAAATGTGATTTCCCTAAATAAACTATAGTAAAGGTTACCCCCTCCCCAGGGGGAAACATGAGACCCCAGGGTCAAGAAGTTCACAATTTTGGTAAAGCACCTTAAGATCCTTCCATATATGAAGAATACTTGATTCTACAATATCTGGGTCTTGAGAAGAAGATTTTTGAAATTTTAGTCAATTTGACCCTTTTTGGCCCTGCCCCTCAGGCCCCTGGGGGCTTGGGACTAAACCGGCCACTTTTTTGTTGACCTTTGTCCATGGAAGGTCCCTGCAAAATTTCAGTGAAATTGGTTCAGGGGTTTTGGAGAAGAATTCGAAAATGTAAATTGTTTACGAACGAACGACGGACGACGACGGACAAAGGGCGATCGCAATAGGTCACTTGAGACTTTGTCTCAGGTGACCTAAAAATCTAATTTTATGTTCAAACACGAAACCGTATATATTGTCAGCCCATTCGTTAATTTACACCAACCACGATTGTTATCGCCCAACGTTCGTCGCACAGTTGTGCGCACCAATTGTGGACGATGTGCGGACGGAGTGTGAACGATGTATGCACGGTGTGCGGTGCGTTGTGCGTTCCCATAACTGTAACAGTTGAGGTCATTTAAGGAGGTGCATCCATGTTGTGTAAACATGCATGAATGTACGTGTGCTGAATACAGGGTATGTTGATATAGAAGCATCCTTCTGATAGCGCGGATCTAATGCCGACTTATAGTGCTATTTCACTGAAATACCAAGCCGACGGCACCAAGCACATCAATCCGCCCGGTCACATTATACTGACAACGTGTGAACCAGTTGTTGCCATTACCCTTAATGCTTTACGATAAGCAGAGAAAAACAACTACCATTTGTAAGGACGTGTAAGGATGATGAAAGCAATTAGTTCACCCTTTGTCTGTATAATGTGACCAGAAAGAGGGCTCTGCTAGGTGCCTTCGGGATTTTCTTTCAGTGAGATAGCACCATGAAGTCGGCACTATATCCGCGCTGTCACAAGGAGGCAAGTTCATCAACACACTCTTGTCTCCGGCACTCATACAAACATGCAGGCATACACACATACATGGAGGCACGTCCTTAAATGACCTTTGCTGTTCATAGGACGTTACAAAAACCTAACCAAACCAACCCCATAACAATGAATACAACTGTTGAGTATATGTTGACAAATAAACATAATTTTGAAATCGTTGGGATCCACACACTATAACCATCAATACATTGGTGGGCATACAAATATAACAAAAATATGATTTTAGAATAGACTCTTGGGCCTGGCCTCAACCCTAGGGACGTAATTCTCGGATAATCACTTTGAACAGGTGAGGATTCTCAACTCACAGCCATATATACCTGTAGCATTGTTGGTCATAAAAATCCCAGTGAGCGAAACAGGTTGTGTGGGTCACTTGTTACATGGACAGTTACTGCTACGTTTATCCATATATATATTTGGTCAGGACGAGCTCACCTGCTATTACCTGGTGAGACGCTCACTAACCTGAACGAGTTGCTTTCACCAGGGCCCGGGATCATGAAACGGACTTAAGTCAAATTCTGGACTTAAAAAACTTAACTTGGGGATCATGAAAAAAAACTGACGTCTTAAGTTTGAATTTCTGTCTTAAATCCTAAGACTGCTACATGCAGACTTAAGTCTGAATTTGATCTTAAATATGGCGGACAAATCGTACGCTTCAGGTGCCCGTCTGCTCTATTGAGAGAAAGGAAGAGACATTTCATCCCGAGTATTTCTAGACCATTTACTTTTAAAACCCTCCAATTAATTCAGGATGAATGGAGAGTTTTACAAACGTGCTATTGATTCAAATGACCATCTTAAGGCGGTCCACATCGTAATCCAACAAGATCATCGAAGTTTCCCACCATTCAGGTTTCCGACCATCTACACTCGCTGGCTCAGCTTGTCCGAGGATCATTCACAGAAAGACATGATGAAATGTTAATCCTGAGTCTCATTTTATTGTAGACGTGTTCATCCCTATAAAAGACATACTTATATGTCTACTGCAAACAGACGTTCGCTTTAACTTACATTTTTCCGGTGTTGTAAACAATGCGACTGCAGCGCCGCATCCTCGACGGTACTGTAATAAAACTAATAAACGCTCTCATTTGCGAGATCACAATAATCACCGTACTGCGGATAAAACGAAGATGTAGTGTTCCTTTTAGCCTAAATAATTCTTTATTTTAATAATCATACATCGCCAACTGAAAAGTTCATTGAAAAATAACCTTTACATGTTTTAGTAGGTATATTGAGTCCAAGTTAAGTAGAACATTAAAACATGTCGACCATGCAAGGTAAACACTTTTACTTTATCATTTAAAGGAGTATAACTAGGATATTACTCAATATTTCGCACAAATATTCAGTAACTTTACGAGTTTGTATTTATCTCATTTAAATGCAACGTCATGTTAGAAAGCGCATTTTATACATTTAATTCATCGTCTTGTCATAATGTGAAGTAGATGCCTTTATATGGAAGCATGTATTGACAAATTATGCACATCATATGAATTCTCAAATTACACGCACGATTCAAGCAAATCCTACGTTTCCCTCTAATTTTTAAATATACACAATAAATCTATGATTTATTTCAAGAATATTTGTTACTTCAGCTGAATATGCAATAGTGAATATCATAGTAAAGAGTAAAGACAACTTCGATGCATAGTTAAACCTGCTCGTCTTTTCTCATTCATATTTTATTAAAATTCCATCTATTGTGAAATTGGCAAATATCGGCAAACATCGGGAAACTTCGTAATGTGGGTATTCCTCCTAATCGTGACGTCATTTTCGGTATGAGTAACCGCCCGTTGGGGAAACCCCGATTGTAAACAAATGACGATTGTTCGTTATTTTCGCGGCCGTTTTAGGAACATTTCGTCAAAATTACACACTGTCAGCGGTGGACGTGTGTGTTTAAGGGAAAGGGATTTGTAAAATAGAGATTGTCCTTTTTTTTAACAACGTGAAGCTAGGTAGACATGCAGAACGTTATTGGTGGAAAGATGGGTGTCAGGTCGTTTCGTCCTAAATCCGGTTCGCCCTGGGTCATTCCGCACTAAGTTGTTTCGCCTTAAACATGTTTTTAGTGTGATTTGTTATGTCCTGTTTAGTTGTGTATGGTTAATTTTATCTAATTTGAAGTTTTTCTATTTCTCCCCTATCTTATTAGACTCGTTAGATTTGTACGTGGTTGGCCGAATCGACCAAACACACACGGGCTACAATATCATTTTTTTTTTCGAAATGTGACATAGTAAAAGATTGTTGTGTTTATATTTTTGTATTGCCATAGGCCTATGACGTATCAAGAAAATCATGGTGCTTTGAACACATTACTTTCGATAATTTGATGTCAAGTCACTTCAACTGTCGAAAATGGACAAAATTGGTCAAACAGGGAGGAGGGGTCGTAACTATACATTTTTTTTCAACATTCAGACGGTAAAAATTTTGATTTATTACGTTTTTTGTAATTTAAAGCGATTTTACAAGAAAACTGTTTTTTATTTTTTTATCTATATTTGATATAATTTGTTGCACAACTTATTTCTTCCAACATTTACCATGAAAATTGGAGAACAAAAATTTGAATTTCATGGCAATATTAAAAATGAATAAATTATTTCTGGAAAGAGTTATTATTTTCATATTTGTAATCTACAATGTTTGACCAATTTGTCGGTATATACAAGTAAATGGTTTGCAAAAAGTGAATAAAATCATAATTGTCTGCATATAGAGTTTTTTTTGTCATTTTATTAGACTTTGAACAGAAAGGGGCCCAATGAGTGAACTTATAAAATGCATCAAAACTGGAACCATTTGCGGTAAAAGTTCATAAAAATGTGGAGAATACGCGTGTGTGGAAAACATAAATATATATTAAGTTTACTTCCAAACAAATGTGTATAATACATGGAATACCTTAAATATATTTTGTTTTTTTCAGAATCGTTGCTGTTCTAAAAAAGTGAGTTTCTTTTAATGTATATGTAAACGATCATTTCTCAAGGGCTCACTAAATGCTTTTCAATAACAAAATCATAATGACTTTGTCTATTGAATTCTACAGCGGTACTTTACAGAAATAATACCAAGATACAGTAACGCGAACCAAGTAATCAAATATTTAGGATCTGCTCTTTTGGAAAGTCTCATTATGTTACTCATTTTGAGCCATACTGACCCTGACACGTCATGAAATTGATTATTCATGACGTCACGAACAATAGCGTGACCCCGAAAGGTCAATGTGATTCCGCCTCACTTTGAATATCCATGACGTTACCAATTCCACAGCAGAAAGACCGAAACTTCAAAGAAATCACTAAAAAACTATGGGCAATTATCATATCCTTGTGAGTTTTGGTAATATTTTTCACCCCTGTGGCAAAGAAAAAGGGTCAACCTCGGCCTTTTGGTTGTTAAGTAATAATTTGAATCTGTTTTTAAACATCGGGCACTCTGGCACTAGTAACAACGAAATAAGGTAACGGTCATTCGTTCGAACAAAAAAACACCGTGTACCAGTAGCCCTTTAACCGAGTACTCAACTGGGCATATATCATACCCCTGCGGCTTTTGATTCTTCAGAAGAAGTTGCCTTTACAGCTTGACACATTTGAGCGTGAAAATGGGTCACGGTCATTTACTTGGTAGCCTTTCAACCCGGCATGCTACTGATTATTGTGTCGCCTGCGAAAAGCTGGTGACACATAGGTATTGCTATGTCGGCGTCGTCGGCGGCGTCGTCCGCACAGAGGTTTTCGTGCGATAACTTGAGTTTCCTTGGGTCGATCAAACTCAAACTTCATGCATTGCTTCCTTACCAAAAGTGCTTGCTTGGGATTGCTTTTCAGGTCCAAAAGTCAAGGTCACTGTTACTATAAAAAGAAAATCTGTTTTCGTGCGATAACTTTAGTTTCCTTTGACCGGTCAAACTCAAACTTCATGCAGTGCTTCCTTACCAAAATTGCTTGCTTGGGATTGTTTTCAGGTCAAAGGTCAAGGTCACTGTTACTATAAATAGAAAATCTGTTTTCGTGCGATAACTTGAGTTTCTTTTGGCCGATCAAACTCAAACTTCATGCAGTGCAAAGCATACTTGCATTTTCAAGAATGTTTTTTGGATACCAATGAGGCGATCGATGCTGGTCTTGCTTGTGGACACCATATTGTATCTATTTCTTTGTAATCTCCCAGCTTCCTGCGCAGGCGACACATCCACCTCCGTGGATTTCTTGTTAATCACCACCCTGATCCTTTTTGTTATCGGAACAAATTGTTTGAATTTGTTTTAGCAATTTACGCCTGTGATCTTGAACTTTGGTCAAAGTCATTTATTTAAACAGATTTCGTTACCCTTCATCCCAGCCTGCTACCCGTCAATATTCATCAACCTGTGCATTTTGGTTATTCAGATGAAGGTGTTATAAGCTTTTACTTCAATCATTTGACCCCAGTGAGCTTGTCATTTAAACAATCCCTTTGGGCCAGGTGAGCTAAAAAAAAAAATGGCGGCACAGTTATATTTTAGTTATTAATCTACCGTCAGAAAAGGTGAAATTATAAAATTGCTTGGAGCGCAAAAAATAAACATTTTCAGAATGGCCGCCGAATCGGTAATTCCTTAAAAAAATCATTTTCATTTTCGGGTGTAGGTTTGCTTTTATAATTGATTGTAATTTTTAAAATCAAATGAAATCTTTCATTAGATCAATTCCAGATTTAAACGTAATTTTACCTCAGAAGGGCAGATCCTAAGCGTGCAATGTTTTTAGTAAATCCGAGCTTTTGTGTTAAACCTGCAATCGACATAGAGAAAGGATCCGACATATTGCATATAGAATTTATGAAAAAGGATTTCTATTTCATTTCAGCAAATTAGAATGAAATATACATGGCAAGTTTCATAACGACATAATGATTCTTTTATGATTCACACAAAGCACAATGAACGAAAAGTACGCTTTTCTATGTCATCCATTGTTCAAATTCAACTATGTAATATCTATGTTAATTGTCCTTATTGTGACATCATATTATGAATAGAAAGTCAGTAACGTCAAATCTTAATATTTAATAATGAATCTAGATTATGAAATATGAATAGCAAGGTAATCATGCGAAAATGACTAATAACTTTAAATGATGAGAGGCTTCGTACATTATTATGTAAAATGCGTATATCGCCTTTTATAAAACAAGGTGCACACACAACATTTTGATATACAAGTTTGATTTTTGCAAAAGTCCAACTTTCTACTTATTTCTGAAACAATAATGATGTAATTGAATACTTGATGAAATAAATAAATTTCTGTTTTAGACCCAATTGATGTGTTGCGCCATTGTTGGCATTGTAATTGTTGCAACTGTTGTGGTTTGCATGTACTTCATCTTGAGACCGAGCGTTGACCAAGGTAAATTTAACAAAGATGTGACGAATCCTAAGCATAGTGGGCTGATCAGATCGCCCGTCGCATTTTCTCCAAACATATTTCATGCAGATTTTGATTTTCAGATTTTTAGTTTGTTATCGCTCTTTATCAATAATTAAAATACAGATCTTTCTGAAGTTTCATATGTTAATTACCTATGGTCCAGAGTTATGCATGGGACTAATCGGCGAAACGGAATGATCGTAGGAACCCATCTTCAATTTTTAGAGAAGAAATTTGTTATCGCTCTTTCTCAAAAAGAACCAGACAAATCTTTCTAATATTTAATAGGTAGATGTCTCATGTCCATAGATGTGTTTGTTTGATTTTGAAAATGATTTAATTAGGTCTAATAAAGGGTAAATAAAACGCGTAAAAGGAAATGACATTTACTAAATTAAAAGATGAAAGGGAACATGTCAACTTGAATAGCAACATTGGCTAACGTTAGTTATACCTTCTTGAAAAGATCAACGGTTTTCAAATCATGTAATTTGACGTTTTGAGGAAGTACTATGAACTAATATAATTTTCCAAATTCAGAACGGTGTGCTTGCATTTTTGTCAAATACGTAAAACCCATGACGGCCAACACGTTCCTGTAGTTTAACAAACTCCATAGGCGTTATATGTAATAGAAAATTATTGTTCCTCCAACATATCAAAGCACTAAACATGCAAATAGTAGTGTCCCATACTGATTGGAGCTCTGATATGAAGGTATTTCCGAGTCTCTATAGAGCACATATAAGATCAAAACTTTATTACGAATCCACTGTATATGTATCTACCAGAGATGCCTGAAAATTAGATACCGTTCATCACGGCTTGCTCTAGGAGCTTTCAAAACCACACCTGTTGGAAGACGCTACGTGGAAGCGAACGAACCACCATAATTATAATCGTCGTTAGAAACTGTCATTGCATTTTGCATCTTGGTTGAAGCCAAACCTTTCAAACCCAGTCTACCCTCTCGCTTTCAATCCAAATTACGAAACCTCATTTCAAAATACACTTAATTGTATTCCAACTTTTTCCAAATCAATGCCGACACTATCTAATCATTTCAAACAATAGATGTTCCTCCATACCTTTTGATCCCACCTTTTAAAGCCAATGATATACCGAAGTCAGTCATCTATTTTGACTTCATATCTGTCCTACTGAGCCTTCACAATAAAACTTTGAAGAATGTTTCAATTAGTAAAATACTAAAAAGTAAAATGGCCACCAGGTACATAGCTATCTTTGATTTTTAGAGTTCAAGTTTGTTACCGCTATATCTACATAATTACCTTCCTTTGGTAGAAAACTCTCAATCAAAAATTAAAAAAAAGATGCATTAACCCTTGGAAACGCTTTTAATTCAGCAGATGATCAGAAAAAAATGAAGGGGAAATATCAAACTTAAATAGTACTTATGAAAGGAATACGATGGTGGTCAACACCATCCGTCTGGAATTTCCTGTTTTAAAGTTTTTCAGTTTTTTCTTACAGAATGTCAAATTCTTCCAAATGAAATTATCTGCCCTTTTGAACAAGGGTACACTAGGGTTGATATATTGAGTCCACCAGTTCAGTTGGAAAAAGGAGAAGGACGTTCTTCATATGATTTAGAGGAGGACATGGATATCACAGTTGACGGCTTTAACATCCGAGTGACGAACGATCAAATTACTATTCGGAAGCAACCAAGTGATTGCCCAGAAGAGGGGGAATATCCTATCATCTTCAACAGTGAAAACAGCACACAGCGTGAAATCAAGCTACCGCTGAAAGTTAAAGGTACACCTTTATTGTATAATATTAACATATAAAAAAAAATCTATACACCTAAACAAAACTTCTAATATGATACTGTTAGTAAAAAAACAAATTCCTTCCGTATTTCAGATCTCACTGATACTATGCAGATGGAAATTACTCCATTTACAAATACATCAGACGGCAAAGACTACGTCCAACTTGTCTGTTCGGGATACCATAAGTGTGGAACAGTAGTGGTGGATCTGGAGCTCCAGGTACCAGACTTTGGCGCATACAACAAACCAATGATTTGTTCGAGGACCACTGGTGATGGTAAAGTCATGGACAATTATGGATATGCATGCACTCTTATCATGAGTGTGAAAATGTTTCAACGAACCGAAAATCTTAACTGCAAACCAACAGTGGAAACTTTACAGAACGTTAAGACCACATCCATCGCACAACAATCTATCGATGTGAATGGTAAGAATGTTTATTCATATTGTATGAAATTAAAGCACGTTAAAGCAGTCATTTAATGATTTTATCGTATAAACCTTAGTCGCTATGTATGTTATCGATAGGTACGATGGACCGACCGATATAGAAGTGCTAATCTGTTGCTTTGCTATGTTTCCAGTATATTTGCTACAACATTTTTTGTATCTTTTCTGTTACATGAAAACCGCATTTTTTGTGGCACTTTGGTTGTTTTTAACAAAGATATGGCACCAAAATTCATGTAAAGTATTCGTTATTCTTGCAGTGACCACCAGATCGCATTTTATCCTTGAAAAGGGGGAAAATACGACCATAAAATGGAATGCTAATGCAGAAACAATGATAGACTTGCGTCATATTCAAACGAAACACAATGGATTTTTCCGCGCAAACGAATTCGATGTAGATGACCGAGTTAAACTATCCACTAGTTCTAAAGAATCTATCGCTACATTTGAAGTTGCGTTCCGCCCAGTCACCTGTATTGATGCGGGAACATGGGAATTACACCTGCTGAATGGTGACAAATCTATCAAAGAAATCCAAGTTAACGGTAAGTTGCGTTAGTGGATACCTTTTCACATTTGTATACATGTGTAAAAAGGGAGCACATGATATTTCTGTTGTGACAGTAAGCATAATTTCTTCTTTGCTTTTATATGTATCAAGTAATTCGTGTACAACAAAAGGTTTGTTTGGTCGGATTCATTGATAATGCTGGATCAAACTAACGTTTCAATGTATTACTTATGAGACCTAATTGTACATAAATAAATATAGCTCAACGAGCAATTTGTTCAAAACGTCAATAGGACATCTGTTAAAATGTGAACCATTGCTTCATTGTTGTTGTTTTTTTAAATCATTTTAGGAATGTCGACATTTACAGACTGCCCCAGTCTTGTAAACGTAACTGTTGGAGACGGACTCGAGCTTAAGTTTACATATTGCGTTCCCGATAATGTGCGAACATATTTATTGAATCTGTATGGGAAAACGAGTAGAAGCGGATCCTTCCTAAAAGATAAACCTTTACAAGTCGTCGATAAAACTACATATTTCTGGGGACTTCTTCATCTGAATGAGTTGTCGGTGATTTACAAAAACCAGCTACCGATAACCTGTGCTGATCACATGACGGCATTTGTGATGTCATTGCATACAAAAGAAAGCGACACCATACAGAATATCACATCCCTCACTAATGTGATAGGTATGTATAACCACAGTTGCACTCATATTGTACACACAAACTAGTTGTGAATAGTATGCTGTTAAAATGTAATTAATTGATAGCCTCATGAATCTTTTCAAAGTTTAAAACTTAATATATTTTGTCAGTCAAAATGTTTTACGTGGTTTAAAACTGTTTTTAACCTTTGCGGCTAACGAAAATATAATTTACAATATTAAATCCCGGTTTTGAAAATGATTGCGTATATGTTTATTTTATACAAATTATTTGACCTTACACATTTGGATAATACACATTTGCTCTTTGAATTTACTTCAGTTGGTAAAGGTCGGTACCACAGCTTTTCCACCGGAGGTGATTTCAGAGAAAACATCCAAGCAGTTATCAACCTTCGCTTGCATTTGGGTTGCAGACCACAACACATGATAATACACGTCAACGGAACACTCCTGACCTCCAAGTACGCTTTAACTGAAGACCGGAGCACAGGAGAGAAAATATTTAGTAAATCCTTTTCATTCCCCAAGATAAGGATGCAGGATAACGGCACCGGCGTTGAACTGTACTGCAGCCTTATTGATGATGAAGGATCTCTAAGAAACCTCTATATTACGCAAGTGATTCGTGTCATTCCAGGTACAAGTTTAACAGATAACTTTCTTCATAACAACGAAAATATATTACATAAAACAAGATCTTTTAATCCATGCAAACACTAAACTGGATAAATTATGTATAACAACGAAAAGTAAGGTTAAATCTTTACAAGTAACGGTTACAACGACAATATTAAACTGTATACGACTTTTCTCTAGGCATTGTGTTATAATTAATGTATCACAAAGGGTATATCATTACTCTATTTTCAATTCATAGAAAAGAAACTTATCGAGCACAATAATTCCTCAATTCTGTTATTTTTTATGGAATTGATTATAACAAACTTCAAATATTTAATTGTATTCAGATGGTAACTTTTAGCTATCAAAATACACATCATATCGGATATAGGATAAGCTGTAGAAAAGGCTTACCATATTGTTTATGGCGAGTTGTAGCACCATTCAAAATTGTTACATGTATCACAGATTCATTTGAGTCTTTACAACTACCACTAACTATGAACAATCTGATTTCACAGATACCTTTTGCAAGGAAAAGCCTCATGGTTGCAACTATCGGCATCCATACAACAGAAACATGTGGGTAGCCTGTGGTGAGGGAGTAATCGCAGACTTAAGGAACTGTCAGTCCGGACTCGTGTTCGTTCAAACGAATTGTGTAGGGAAGTGTTGTCCAGAGGATTCAACGATTAACTGTGAATCACCGTAAGCTTGAAGAAACATCTGCAAATGTTGCTGCTTAAAAATAGTGTAATGAACGAACTGGGGGTAATCAAATCACGAAAACAACGAGTAAGAAACACTCCAATGAAGGTCTAAGTTTGGGGAAAATCAAGACTGTAAAGTATTCTGGTTCTGTTGAGATATAACACGTCATTTGATCTATCAATCGAAATAATTAAAGACCGTATAACCACAATATATTTTCCCATTTTTCATTTTCATGTGACGTATTGATTGTGATTGTTCATAACGCCAATGACCCTGGATTACAACAGAATAATCAAAAGGTACTGCCGGAGATCTCAAGACATAGTAGGCTATCTAAAGTAGAAATGGAAGATCATAATTTACTTTGTGTATGTCGATCATCGAAGAACTGTTATACTTTTTAACAACGTGTGTGATTAAGTAATGCAAAAATCTTTGAACAAGCGAGGGCAAATGATGTATTCCTCAGTTGCCTAACGTTGAAAATTGCTATTACTCACTAACAAGCATGACCTTCTTTGTATATCCATTTCTTCAGTTTGTTTTCATGTTGTTGTTTTTTATATATTGTTTGGACATTTTCGTTTTTTCTATTCTTTGCATCTTATTGTATAACGGAATAGCAACAGCTGGAATCAGACGACTTGTAAGCCGATATACTAGATAAGAATGTTCCGGCTTTTTTAAAAGATGTGACATCTACGGGATGTTGACAGTTACTTAACTGTATATTTTGCTTTAAAACAATTCTGATATATATTAGCGAGTGCATTAAAGTAACTGCCAATTCCAAATTAAAGGGAACAAAAATGTCCAGGTTACTGTTTTTCGTATACACCGTAACATCCCCTTATATGATTTTATAATTTGTTTTTTTTTGAAATCGGGGTCCAATAATTAATTATGGCTTAAGCCTTTGTGTCAGACATTTCAACAAGTACACTATCACATAAATTCCAAAATTATTTCAGTAACAACAACAATCGATTTTAAGATCTCTATCTCAGCAACATGTTGTTCCTGTTATCTTTTATTACATATTTTTGTTCACAAAAAATATGTACTTCATCGGCTATTATACTAGTAATGATATAATATTTTGGTGGAATAACGATTTTCAAATTATATCGATCATACTTTTTTTGTGTAGTACATGCCAAATGAAAGGTTATATCAAAAGTCTAAACACTAGTTTGATTAACAACCGCCAGATCACAACGTCAGGGAAATGCTTTATTTAAGAGTTTCTAGATGTACAGAAACGTATTGTTGTGATTATTCTGCTCTGTATAATATACACTTTTTTGTTTTTATTAAAACCGAGTACAGAAACAAGGTTTTTCTACTAATGTTACCCATTGTTATTGGCACGGATGAACGCAAACTGAAGGTATTAATGTGAGAGGAAACGGGAGTACCCAGTAAAATGTAACGTGGACCTAAATGCCTTTCCTTGTTTAATCGGGGAATCAAATCCCTGCCATCTTGGTACATGTAAATGGTGAGAGATCTATCCACAGCGCAAATCGATCACCGATTTATTTTTTCTGTTTGTTGATATTACATTATTTTTACCATACCATTTTAGGATAATGTTTTTCAATAATGTTAAAGCCATTATTATTTACATATTTTGACGTGTTAAATGCGTTGGATGGTATTATCGACATTATATGAAACATAATGTATTATATTTTTATGCACTATCTAATTGCATGTATGTATATACTCTAATGGACCCGGATAGAGTAGATACAATCTCGCGCACTGTATGGATGGTAACATTCCCTTGTATTTAATTTCGTTACATTTGCGGTCACCAAATTTAGAGCGAAATTAAATACCCCACGAAGTTTAAAACTAAGGATTATAATTCCCGTGATTGTATATATAGATATATAGAAAAAATAAGATTAACAACCGACTATAACACTATCTGCTTTCACCCGAAGAGCCCTGTAAAGGGCGAAAGCAGCTAGTGTTTTAGTCGGTTGTTAATCTTATTTTTTCTATATGTACTTCCTTCACATATTTTTATTATATAGTCATATATATAGTCCACCTGAAACAGCCCAATGAGGCAGAAATGCCTAGAGGTCAGTCTTGTGTACTTAATTTTATATTTCTTCTTCACAAGAACTTCCGAATAACGGAGATACATGCATAACAAAATTTAAATATTGTATTTTACTTGTTTTCACAACAGAAACTCGTAAAATAAGCATCATCATCCAAATACATTGGAATCTTCGTGAGCACGATATGTTTATCTTCAATCCTTGCAATCAATTTCTGATAGGCACAACCATGAACCATTTACCCTGCGAAACAAAACAACTATGCATTACGTCATATACAGCGCAGTTGGTACAGTGAGATTTGTTCTTTAGGATATTACATAACTTGATATAATTTTCTAAATATTATTTTGTATTTTACACATACAGTGTATATATTATTTATACGTTATATTATTGCTACTATTGATTTGTATATCAAATTATATATTTATTTTATTTTGTCGTGTATAGATCTTCTGTATAATTCTGTATTTAAGAATTACATGCATGATGTGCCCCTTTCATATTGCGTATATTTGTATGATTATGGACAAATGCGAAAGAACTGTACAAAACCGTTTTGACGCTATAAACAATTCTGTCTTCTCTCTGCAACAGATTCGACATTATGATATATTTGGGTTCTTTTTTCGATTATCTTCCTATTATTGTTTAGTCTTGCATGAATGTACTGAGACTTCTCTTAAAAGGCTGCCAAAGCTTAAAAGTGTACCGGAAATATGACTTTTAGATATTGTTAAAAATATGAAATAAATATAAATTCAATTTTATCGTTCAGAAGATTTAATTTCAGCATTAACTGTGTATTACAATCCTTGGTTGACATCCATTAAAATTATATGGTTGCGACACAAAGAATAAAATCAGTTTTATGTATGTGGCTATCGGAAACATAACAAACTATCAAAAAGTGTTGAATTGAAGATGGTTTTCGAAGTTCAGTCAGAAGCTTGTACGCTTTACTTGAAGTTTTAACGAACTTATGTGTACATTTTTTCAAATACACGTACCAGTACTGCTTTTGACGGTATTATAGCGGAGTAGAACTATGCATTTTTGTTACATCAAAAATATTATTTAGATTAAGATAACTGTATTTTACTAGAAACTGTTTACATGAAATGTTATGCATTATATAATATTTATAATACATGTGTATGTGACACACCTTAACACTTACCGTATACAACTAACAAGGGGATCATGGAGTTTACGCTTAACAATTATGTTAAAAGCTAATTTATAGATAAAATCAATGGAAGAACAGAATCAACTCTTGCTACTACATGATGATCTTGAGTAAAAATGAAAATCAGCTGACTAAAAATACACGATATCGATGATGTTGTCAATATTTACTAAGAACGTATTTATGGAGTAAAAATAAAACCAATTATGCTTGGTGCATAATAATATTATACAGACTTTGAAAATGATGTTATGGTTAATAATTTAAAAGTCTGGAAATAATTAAAATATCATGTAGTATGGAACATATTAAGGTTAGCAAATACTTCCTTGTGATCAGGTCAAAGTTAATAAAGATATACTTATAAGCATCATCAGAGTCTTATTTTAAATTTCCCTATAGTTCAATTTCCGATCATTTTTGAGGGAAACACCACATATTTAACTGTAACTGTAAAATAGTCTAAAAGATTGATTTGTATCGGTACAACATCATCAGACACAAAATAGGCGCTAATGAAAATATTAATTATTTGTTTTTATTTCCATTTCAAAACAATAATAGTTTTTTGTAAGGCTAATATATTTTAAAAGTCCTCGCGCGTTTAGCAAATCCGCAGATTTGCTTAAATGGTAATTTAATGGGGTCTATGTTTCCGCACATAGTGTTTTCCGCGAAAAAACACCTGATAATGAAAATCACGAATATTACACCTAACCGCAAAAATATACTCTTGAGTGTGGAGGCTTCTATGTGCTATTTCGTTATTTCGTTATTTCGCCGCAAAATAACGAGGTGTTAAATTACAAAATGTCGTTGATTCACGAAATAACGAATTATTTTTGTATCTAAATTGTCGTCAACTCGTCTTCTCGCCTCGGAAAGGCGAAAAGACGACAAAAGTCGAGCGAAAAGACGAAAATAGTTAGGCGATAATTATCGACATACAACTGTCGTTATTTCGTGTTACAAATGTCGTCCTTTCGTCTTTGTGTTATTTGCGATGAGATCATGACATTTAGTAACGTAATAATGTTGTTGTTTTTGGTATTTTGTGACGTGATCAAGACTTTAATTAAAGTTTAAATGTCATTGTTTCGCTATTTCGCCGTGATACATGACATGACATTTGAGTTTTTCCTTTAAAAATATTTGTCCGGGGAATATTTTCTATACTATTGCACCTGGAGTAACCAGATTTGGAGTACAAGGTCATCTTGGGATGGCGGAGTGCAGAGTGCAAGAATTAGGTTAATGTGCTTATGGATTGACCTTTGACCTTTACTTTTGAAAAAGTTTGTCAGAGGCATATCTTCTATACTTTTTCACCTGGAGTAACCCGATTTGGTGGTACATGGTAGAACATCCTGACATACGTGTACTGTTTGTTAAATACAAAAATCATTACCGGTGGGGGACTATGAATTGCCTTTGTTTATCTGGATGTGGTATCATCACAGTCAATGTAACTTAAAATTTAGTAATATTAAAATATAATTTAATAGTGAACACTTGCATATCAAAGAAGTGTTACTGAATGGTATGGTTAAGCACTATCCTACTCAAATACTCATACAATGCTTTTATAGCAATGGGGAACAATGACAAGATAGACACTAATATAGTGTGTATTAAAATAAGACAATGAAGTCGGTGGTGTAAAAAGTAATTTATAATAGAAAATTATCAAATGACATAGTCCTTTTACTAGAAACATGACGTAGGAAACTATAGTTATATATTATAGTATCAATATAAGGGAGATAATCATAGATACGCTATCAATACGATAGATTAAACATAATAAAAGAAAATTCTGAAATCAAAACTTAAGACTAGTTGTAGTACACATATAAAATACGGCAGAGATTTTATAAAGTAATGCTGTATAAAACTGCTTTTGAAAACACTACCCGAGTCTTAAAACTTCATAACTAGCTTCATTCAATAAGATTGAACATGTATATACAAATGACCCTTTAAGATAATTGATTCTGGCAGTTGGAACATACAATTTGTTTGATACAGAAGCTCTAGTTGTTCTTCCATTAACATTTTGTACATAAGAAAACATATTGGCTAAAATATCTGGGGATTTACAATGTAAAAGTACATGTATAAGAAAGAACCATTTTTCTAAAAACGTAAAAAATCTGCTATTGGCATCCATTTTATTTTTTCAAAAAAGGACCTCGAGTGAGTAAGAATGTCCCTAACATTTAACAATATCCTAGCTGCTCTTTTCTGTAATTTAAAAAACGTTTCCACATATGACTTGTTGCTAGGTTCACTCCAGACAGTTGATTGTACATAAAATGAGGAAATGACATCGTTCGTTATAAATGAGCATAGTCTTCTTAACACAACAATTTATTTTGAAATGTTCTTTGTAACATACTCAATATGCTCTTTCCAAGAGATACAACTATCGATAAAAACAACTAGTAGTTTTGCACAGTTAACCTGTTTCAATCGTGAGATCACCTACTTTCAAAATTAGCTGCCGACATGTTGCGAGCTTTCGAGAGGATCCTATCATCATACATTGGGTTTTAGTTAAATTAAGTCTCAATATAATATCCTTCATCCATTTAACTGTGTTTAATGTATTATGTACATGTCTTTCTAATATTTTACTTAGACCTACCAGTACAGAGACTGGTCTATAATTTTTAACAGATGTGGGGTCACCCGCTTTAAAAATCGGAGTGACCTTTGCTCTTTACATATACCACTCTGAGAGAAAGACGACTTTGGATATAGACATACTGTACAAAAAGTTTGGTTTAGTATTGTTTAACGTCCTATCAACAGCTATGGTCATTTAAGAACGGCTGTAAAGGTAAGAGGAGATACAATAGCTTCTACTGAACATTTCAGAAGTTTGACAGATATACCATCCAAACCTGTGGCTTTGCCATCAGGCATGTGTTTTATTTGATTGCGTACAAAATCTGCTTTAATAATTGGAATGCAATTATGTGATACCAACGCTGCAAATGAGTTGATTAATGCATACTTTTTGTGCATAAAACGAGACGATGAAAGTCACGACAATATCCTACAATTTCAATGTATGCCTGGTCCTGAAAGGTTGAACTGATTCATTGTAAGTACATTTAGTACAAAGGAATTACATCATAGCTATGCTCTCTGATCGCGATGGAAATACCTAACTGTACCCAGGTAATTAGCCAGTTAACCTATCGCAGGCTTGTTGATTAACGTCAAGTTCAGGCTATTAAAATATGTTTTGTTCAGTTCAAATAGACAACATGAATAATTTCCTCGTGTTTTTATAGAACCCATACAATTCCATTGGCAAATGACGATTCCTCATTTCGATTTTAACAAAAAAAGCATGTAAACAGTGCCGCCATCTTGGATCCACTATTGTACGATTCAGCGAGCGAACCAGGCGAACCGGTTCGGTTCGGCTGGTACGGCGCGTTCCATTATAGATTCAGCAGGTTCGTACCGGTACCATACAATTTTATAGGCAAATGACGATTCCTCGTCTCGATTTTAACAAAAAAATCATGTAAAAGTCGACCGAGGTAAAACAGTGCCGCCATCTTGGATCCACTTTGGTACGATTCAGCGAGTGAACGCGGCGAACTGGTTCGGTTCGGCTGGTGCCGGGCGCGTGTTGTACAGATTCAGCAGGTTTCATGTATATCTTCAAAGTTAAATAAAACAAACCCCTGACTAGAATTTGCAATTATTGCTGCTACATAATGTATAAAGCATAGGTTCTTTCGTTTCAAATTTCTAAGGTGTTGTTTTTTCATTGAGTACATGTATATGTGGTACAAAGGCACATGGACATGATGATTTCCATGGCCACAGAAGAAATTGACGGTGACATGTATGCCTGAAAAGTACCAATCCACGTACTTGTATTAAGATACAGAGTAAGAGTTGTATAGCTGATTAAGCAAAATTAAGTCGAATTAAGGAAGGGCGTGTACTAAAGACGGGCGATGCATCATCAAAAAATATTTGAAGCATTTGGTTACTACAGCGTATTGTACTAAAATTCTAACATAACACATTCATATCTTAGTACATAGTAATGGTATTGCTCTTACAGCTCTACAGAACAAAGAGTTACGTTAATTAAAATATAACAAAACACAGACACAAGTTAATTATAATCTTAGAAACATAGTAATACGCTAGTTACAGTCTTAAAGAACATAGAGGTATGTTAGTTACAATCTTACAGAACATAGAGATACGTTAGTTACAGCCTTGCAGAACATAGAGGTACGTTATTTATAGTCCTACCGAACATAGAGTTACGTTAAATACAATATAACAAAACACAGACATAAGTTAATTATAATCTTACAAACATAGTAATACGCTAGTTACAGTCCTACATAACATAGATGTAAGTTAGTTATAATCTTACAGAACATAGAGGTACGTTAGTTACAATCTTACAGAACATAGAGGTTCGTTATTTATAATATAACAGAACATAGAGGTACGTTAGTTACAATATAACAGAACACAGACATAGTAATACGCTAGTTAAAGTCTTACATAGCATAGAGGTACGTTAGTTACAGTCTTACAGAACATAGAGGTACGTCAGTTACATTATTACAGAACACAGACATAGTAATACGCTAGTTACAGTCTTACAGAACATAGAGGTATGTTAGCTACAGTCTTACAGAACATAGAGGTACGTTAGTTACAATGTTACAGAACATAAAGGTACGTTAGTTAAGTCTTACAGAACATATAGGTACGTTAGTTACAGTCCTACAGAACATAGAGGTACGTTAGTTACAGTCTTACAGAACATAGAGGTGCGTTAGTTACAATCTTACAGAACATGAAGGTACGTTAATTACAATCTTACAAAACATAGAGATACGTTAGCTACAGTCTAACATAACATAGAGGTACGCTAGTTACAGTCTTACAGAACATAGAGGTACGCTAGTTATAATATCACAGAACATAGAGATACGTTAGTTACAATATAACAAAACACATACATAGTTATCCGCTAGTTACAGTCTTACAGAACATTGATGTACGTTAGTTACAATCTTACAGAACATAGAGGTACATTTGTTACAGTCTTACAGAATATAGAGGTACGTTAGTTAGAGTATTATAGAACATAAAGGTACGTTAGTGACAGTCCTACAGAACATAAATGTACCTTAGTTACAATCTTACAAATACTAGAGGTACGTTAGTTACAGTCTTACAAAACATAGAGATACGTTAGCTACAGTGTAACATAACATAGAGGTAAGCTAGTTACAGTCTTACAGAACATTGATGTACGTTATTTACAATGTTACAGAACATAGAGGGATGTTAAATACAATACAACAGAACACAGACATAGTTATACTCTAGTTACAGTCTTACAGAACATAAATGTACATTAGTTACAATCTTACAGAACGAACATAAAGGTACGTTAGTTAAAGTCTTATAGAACATAAAGGTATAAAGGTAAGCACGTTAGTAACAATCTTACATAACATAGAGTTACGTTAATTTCAATAGCTAGTTATAATATCACAGAACAGAGAGATACGTTAGTTACGATATAACAAAACACATACATAGTTATCCGCTAGTTAAAGTCATACAGAGCATAGAGGTACGTTAGTTACAATCTTACAAATCATAGAGGTACGTTAGTTAGAGTCTTATAGAACATAAAGGTACGTTAGTTACAGTCTTACAGAACATAGAGGTACGTTAGTTACAGTCTCACAGAACATAGAGGTACGTTAGTTACAGTCTTACAGAACATAGAGGTACGTTTGTTACAGTCTTACAGAACATAGAGGTACGTTAGTTAAAGTCTTACAGAACATAAAGGTACGTTAGTTAAAGTCCTACAGAACATAGAGGTAGGCACGTTAGTAACAATCTTACATAACATAGAGTTACGTTAATTACAATATAACAGAACACATTTGTAATGTATTTATAATCTTACAAACATAGTAATACATGTACGCTAGTTACAGTCTTACAAAACATAGAGGTATGTTAGTTACAGTCTTACAGAACATAGAGGTACGTTAGTTACAATGTTACAGAACATAAAGGTACGTTAGTTAAGTCTTACAGAACATGTAGGTACGTTAGTTACAGTCCTACAGAACATAGAGGTACGTTAGTTACAGTCTTACATAATATAGAAGTACGTTAGTTAGTCTTACAGAATATAGAGGTACGTTAATTACACATACATAGTTATCCGCTAGACGACATATACAGTCTTACAGAACATAGAGGTACGTTTGTTACAGTCTTACAGAACATAGAGGTACGTTAGTTAAAGTCTTACAGAACATAAAGGTAAGCACGTTAGTAACAATCTTACATAACATAGAGTTACGTTAATTTCAATATAACAGAACACAGATATAATGTATTTATAATCTTACAAACATAGTAATACGCTAGTTACAGTCTTACAGAACATAGAGGTATGTTAGTTACAGTCTTACAGAACATAGAGGTACGTTAGTTACAATGTTACAGAACATAAAGGTACGTTAGTTAAGTCTTACAGAACATATAGGTACGTTAGTTACCGTCCTACAGAACATAGAGGTGCGTTAGTTACAGTCTTACAGAACATAGAGGTGCGTTAGTTACGATCTTACAGAACATAAAGTTACGTTAATTACAATCTTACAAAACATATAGGTACGTTAGTTACAGTCTTACAGAACATATAGGTACGTTAATTACAGTCTTATAGAACATAGAGGTACGTTAGTTACAGTCTTACATAACATGAGGTACGTTAGTTACAGTCTTACAGAATATAGAGGTACGTTAGTTAGTCATACAGAATATAGATGTACGTTAATTACAGTCTTACAGAGCATAAATGTACGTTAGTTACAGTCTTACAAAACATAGAGGTACGTTAGTTACAGTCTTACAGAACATAGAGGTACGTTAGTTACAATCTTACAGAACATAGAGGTACGTTAGTTACAGTCTTAGATAACATAGAGGTACGCTAATTACAGTCTTACAGAACACAGGTACGTTATATGTAGTTACAACCTTACAGAACATAGCATACCAGTTCATTTATTACAGTGTTAACGGTAAGTTAATACATGGTATTGTTATTATAGTTTTACAGATTACATAGATATTTTAATATACTTTAATATTACTACAGTCTTACAGGACAGAGTGTTGCGTTTATACATTGTACTGTGCTTAATCTTAAGGAACACGGTGTTAAGTTAATATATCGTATGATATTTAGTCTTCCAGAACCTGATGAAGCCGAAACAGTGATATGCTGATTTAACAGCAATAACGACAACAATCATCACTAATTTGTATAGAAAATAAAATCCTTCGTGATATCTTTCTTTTTGTTCTCTTTCCTACTTTTATTCGCATTGTTCAGACACTATTAATGTAGAGGAGTTTGCAGTCATGAACTTTAAGGTCACAAAGCGCTATGTTTTATGTAATTAATCTACTCATGTATTAACGGAGTCTCCATAAGTTAAGTGAAATCTGACCTGGTGAACTTCCTATTAAGCCTATACAACTTTAGGCAAGTCAGTGAAACACAGTCATACAATACAATAAGACACCATTTTACAAGGGAAGAACTTTGTTCAAACAGTGATTCATCTTAACTCGACAAGATTGCTCCATTATCTCACTGCTGACAATGTACATGTACATATATGCATAAAAGCAGATCTCAAAAGTACTTTTAGTTGCATTTTAGTTTGTGTTGAAACACAAAATACACTATGTGCTATGAAATATGATAACTTGTGATGACCACCTCATTGAGCATTTTGATTGGTGTGACAGATCAGAAACATAAACAGTTAAATATGGTGAATTCCACTTAAGTAAGTATCCGGGTTATTTTTGAGGTTTTGTGAACAACCAGAACGCCTTTCCACTGCCAGGAAAAGAAACAATAAGCACCGCATGACGTAGGCATATAAAGGAGCACTAGATAGTGTCATTTCGTAGAATTAAGTTGAGTCGCAAATCATATTGACATGATATATGTCCGGTGAACTATTTTTTCTTTAAAAACATAAGCATCAGCCTTAATTTTAACTTCTCATTATTGTTGTCGTTTACAACGCTATGTAACATTTTAACAGATGATACACAAGTTAAATACCTTCAAATTAAATTATCTGAATTCCAATTTTGAAATGGAACTCAAATCATGACTTTGGCGTTTGAATTTTGTATGACTAAAGCATCTTTCAGGGGGTTGTTGAACCTTTATGTGATGCAAAAGGTAGAACAACCGCGGTTATTTTAGACTGTATCACCATGGGCCTTAGTGGGAATCGCAGAGCATTTTACGCCTGTCTCAAATAGAAAAAGTGCAACTATTTATACTTAAAAATAAAGATTACAATTCATTTTATTAAAGCTACCGGTTTCAATTGTTCACATCCATTACTATTTATTTAAAACGCCGGAACTGGGACCAATCATTTTATAACTTCAAACTTTAGTTGACCTCTACAGGACATTTGCTGTTAACGTGTTGCTAATTCCGGACCGTGGCATCGGGAAACAACACTAACCTAGAACAAAATATTGTATACTCTGGCAAGTTACACTGTGAACACACGGTATGTGTGTTGACGGTATACCAAAGACACGCGCCAACTCTTTAACTCAATTATTCAATGTGAATTGCCTCTTGAGTTATTCGTCATAGTATTACTGATTTTAGTTTAGAAATTATTAAAAAGCAAAAATACTTCTAAATATGCGCGAAAAGAGGAGTTATATAGCGTTATTTAAACTCTTCATTAGCAAGTCACCGCAAAGAGTACGATTTTACTACTTGCAAACAGACAACCTTTTTTCATAAGTTCTATTCATGAAATACCGAAATAACAACTTCAAATCGATAAAACTAGACAGCATCCGAACAAATATTCGATTTACATAGAGGACCATATGTTCCGGAAGGGTAAACATCTTATACTCCACCGACGACAACCGCCATAGAAGTTTTGATAAGATCCAAAAAATGTCACGTCCTCGAACGAGAACCTGGTTAATGAAAACGAAAACCATTGTATACGAATGAGCATAATTAAAAAGAAAACGACTTTCATATCACACATACATAGCATAGTTCCAAATGGTATCATGATGGCGTCCGTAACACTTGTCAAACCTTTATCTTTCTGCATATTCAGAAACCCAGTTCGTCTGTCAGCTGTCGACGTCTATCGTGGAACCTAACAACTGCCGACAAATGTCAAACATGACTTAAGGTAACCTCTTGCACTTCCGATTCTTGTTTCTAACCTTATCTTATCGATTGCCGTTTATCATGGTTGGAGTGTCTCCTGTCTATTAATTCAAGACGCACATTCAACAGACGATATGTGGAAATATGTCTTCACCATCGCCTGTCTCCACAACCTGGTCTCCGTGTACTGTGAGTACATTGTAATTTCCTGTGAAATTAAATAGTTGAACTGCCATGTGAATATATGGTACGTGGTGATTGGTGTCCAAAAGGATATATGATATTCAAGTAATCCTGTGAAAAAGCATTTATATATGTAGCAATCGTTAACCCATGTGATAAAGTACGTTGATCTAAACGTGTTCACACACAGATTGGTTGGCTTCTTCTCATCAACTTGACAGGAGAAAAATATGTTAATATAAGCTTCATATTTAAGTTGTGTTTTCCTATTTAACGTCGCTAAGTATTTTACAGACTACTTCAGCAATATAAGCGCAGAGAGAAATGCTCAATGCGTTTTCAATAAGATAACCATTCACGTTGCGTAACTTTGTCCTCCTAGGTCAGACTGGCTCATGTCGCGACGGCTACACCAGACATGCCAATTCGTGTTACAGATTCCATCATGTAGAACTGTCCTGGCCGGAATCTGTAGTAGGTATACCCTTTTTTATGATGCAGTCATCAGTGTTGCTTTTTAAAACGCAATTAGACTGTAACACAGTGCAGGTAGACTGTAACACAGTGCAGGTAGACTGTAACACAGTGCAGGTAATGACACAAATAAATGCTTCACAATTTCCAATTAGTATACATTATTTATGTTAGTCACCATACGCGAAAAAAATCTCATGTTCCCTCTCATGCTCGATTTTTCCCGGTCATATTATGTTTACTCCGAACCTCTTTTAAAAGAGTTCCGAACGAAAGTGGACGACAACAAAGGCGCGTCAATCTGTTGTGTGATTGGTCTATTTCGTTACCATAAAATATGTATGGGGAAACAAAAAAATGCATATGTTTTGTATCCCCCATCAAATGGGCAAAAGATTAAATTGTAATCTAAAAATGCGTAGTAAGTTGAACATTTTCAACTGTTGAATGCATTAGAAAGTTTGGCAAGTAACATCTTGTTCAAAGGCTATATGGTGATATCGGCAGAACAAACCACTCACGTTCTTGATCCGGTCAGATATAATGTTATGTTTACACCCGTGTGAACACATTTTTCGGAATCATTCTTATTCTGTTCAAAGAAATATTTTATTCGGATCAGAATTAAAGGAAAATATATTGCAAATATGCCAATCGGTAAAAAAGCCAATTACCGACAATGATGTCACTCGGAATACTGTATATTTTTATATTTTTCGTGGTGAAGATGTCTTTTTTAATGTTGGGCCATGACAATTATTTACAAGTATCACAGACAACTTGCGACTCGTCCATTGTACCTGAATCGCCATTCTGTTCTCCGTGGTTACCTCATGTATTACCTTCTATTGCGGTGGCTCCGCAAGTTGTTTAATTGTTTTCTTTGTTAGATATTTCGTATAGATATTAAATTATGAAATTTTAAAATGATTATTTTATTACTTGATACTGTTTACGTAACACTGATGTAATTTCGTCATACTGTAATTTACTGCGTATTTTCCGCTTTGTTAAATTACTTACACATCTTAATACATTTTGTTTTGGATATAAAATCTGCTCGCCCAAGTAGGCTGCCCGCGATTTTCTGCCACATTAAAACTATTATACGCTGTTTATTTATATTTTCCTCCAGACGTTCTGTAAAGCAACGGGATCTTATTTGGTAAGAGTAGAAACAGAAGCAGAGCACGACTTCCTGAAGCTGAAGGCCAAGGAGATGCTAGGTACATGTATGACTTTCTTTTTCTCCAAACTGTATAAATTAAATACATATGCAACATTGACCACACATACAGTACATACCAGCATATCGCTCTTTAACTTCCGTCAAGCCTGCCTTCAACGTAATCTATCTATAATTACATATAAGCAACAGCAGGTTTTTTGATATCTTTTTGTTTATTTATTCCTTTCAAAAGACCTATTGCTGGGTTTCCCGTGAGGTTGTCATTGAAGTCGAGTCAAACCATAGCAGCATATACAACTTGTAAATGTCGTTACATATATAACATATAAATATTTATACATATTTGATTAATAACAAGTACTAATTCTAATGGAGGACCATTACAGATGTCCCCCAAACTGCCCTTATAGTCGCAAATTAAAGATGCATCAGAAAAGGTTCGCAATGCCATAATACATTTACAATATACATGTACATAATAGATTTGAGTGACATCGCAAAATTTCTGAATTGTGACAAATCAGAAGTGTATGTGTGGTTGCTATCGCAACGACACCCATGCGATTGAATTCGCAGTCTTCTTATACCCCATTATACCTTTTCTTTTTTAAATCGAACAATATCAAATTTTTGACCAATCAGAGTCAAGGAATTGGCAGCCATTTTGTTTAATCACAAAACAAACACCGCAGTTGTATTTGTAGTGCCATGCTACACATATGCACCAAATTTCATCCAAATCGGACAGTATTTAAATTTTGACCAATCAGAGGGGAAAATGGCGGCCATTTTGTTGAAATGTGAAATCTATGCTACGGAAGCGATCATTGTCCTATGATATACCTGCATAATAAATTTGATCAAAATTTGACAATATTTAAAATTCGACCAATCAGAGGACGGTAATTGGGACATTTTGTTGAAATGTGAAACCTAACTTACGGAAGTGATCATTGTCCCATGATTCACCTACATAACAAATTTGGTCGAAATCCGACAATATTCAAGTTTTTCGACCAATCAGAGGTCAGAAAATGGCGACCATTTTGTTTAATCACAAAACAAACCACGCAGTTGTTTTGGAAGTGCCATACTTTACCTATATACCAAATTTTATCAAAATCGGACAATGTCTAAAGTCAACTACCCAGAGGCCGCCGTCCGGCTGACCAATCGGATGACCGATCGAAAAACGAAAATACTCTTGCGCGCACCGCCTGTCATACAAGAATACTCATGTGAAGTTTCGTTGAATTCAACCCTACGGTTTTCGAGAAAAATGCCGGAAACCTCGTCGGCGGAAGAAAGTGGAAGAAATAATAATAATAATAATAAAAAAGGGCCAAAATAGTATGTCCCCAAACTTTGTTTGGGGGACACAATTATATTAATATGGACAAACATATGAAGAAATTTGAATAATAGGTAGTTTTTTTTAAAGCAAAACTATTTCAATGATATTTTAATAAGGTTTTTATTAATAAATCAATGAGTCCCTAATGAGTCGCTACAATCTGGGCACACAAGGGTGATTAATATCAGTTGCTTAAACAAAGTATGATAATCGTTTACCTTTAACCCAATTTTAACAATTTTCTGTTTTATAAGCCGTTTATAATAGTTAATTATTTATAAACCGGTTGAAATTAACATTGATGTATTCATTAACAGATAAACAAATAATGCTAACGATTTTTAAAGCCGGTTATAATAATGATTTATCTATATGCCGATTATAATCATTATTTATTCGTGATTCGACTTTAGGGACCGCAGAACCAAATGATTTTCCATAGACGATAGTGTTAACGTTTACCACTGTTCTGGTTAAATGGGGTTATCCACACTGGTTCACCTGTCCTCATTTTGAAGAATGTCATATCACACATCTGTAAAAAAAAAATCTACCTATTTCAACTTTTTTATATGGGGGCCGCCATTTTGTAATGAATTCGGCACCATTTTTTTTGTTATACATTTTATACATCTATATATTTTGCTCAACCCACACATAACACTTTTGAAACTTTTGCCACCTAAATATCCAACCAGCAGGCCCCGAGGCATTCACTTTCCTATCAAATCTTCTGTCCAGAAGGGAAAACCCGACAATATATTTTTGATTTGGTTCCGTGGTCCCTATACTTTTTCTTCATTCACACATGTATGTGTGCTTTCAGGTACATATCCTCTGTACTCGTTCTGGATAGGCGCAACTGATGCAGTGGAAAATGGGAAATGGTTATGGGCCGATATATTGACCAGACTTGTATACACCAAATGGGCACTGGGTCAACCAAACAATTCTCCTGGAGAAGACTGCGCGGGCCTTTACTACCAAGGCGGGTACGACTTCGGGGATTGGGTCTGCAGAACTTTACTCCACCCCATATGCGAAGCGGAGTACGTATCTTCAAAATTTGCCAATGGTGCAGTGTAAATTGGTTCTTGATGTAAATGGCAACTTTTATAATTAAGAGTAAAATTATGTCCAATATCTTATGAACGTGTTCATGTGGTAAGTATGTCCGGGTATCATTTCAAAGTAGATTGACGAATGCATCAACTAAGACTTTTAGGAAATAATTATTTCTCTACTTTTTAAATAAATATTTTCAAATTAGTTTGTCTATTTTCTGATTAAGCAAAAAAATTGTCATCGATCGAGAAAAAAATAATGCAAAAACGTCATCAAAGTAAGGGAAAATTTGCAAAATCAGGTCATGTACATGAAATTCCGCCCATCGTACACTATAAACTTTTCACATAATCCTGTCATTAAAGGGCAAAATAAGCACAGTTTCATATTATAAATGTTTTGGTATATATAAATGTAGAAATATCCTCTTTTTGCAGTCAGAGAACCGGCATGCAAAGATTGTCAGTCAAATATGCTCATTTTATATCATTCCGATGCAAACAAGTTGTTTAATTTAAATAAATAGAGGATATTTAATGTTGCCTACAGTAATAACAAATATATTTCACGAATGTGGCTAATGTTTTGATATTTTTCACGAGTGAAAAAATATCAAACCATTAGCCACACGAGTGAAACATATTTGTTATTACTGAAGACACCATTAAATTTTCTATTTTTTAAATTTTTAAAGCATAAAACATGAAAAATGTAATGCATTAAAAAAGGACGGGGATAAGAAGCGTAATAATTACGAATGACATCACGCTTAACTTCGCTCAGTTTCGCTCAGTCAACATCGTTGTAAGCTAACTAGTAGCTTGTGGTGATGTATGATGGTCCTTTCTTCTAATGAATGCTGTACACACGCGTATTAATTAGACTTCTGGTTGCTATATATATAGTTGTTTACAGTTACAGGTTCATTTCTTTATCTGGTAGGGTTGGAGTATTCAGCTCCCACTGTTGATTCCTCTCCTTTTAAAATATGATGGTTAAAACATGTGATTTTTAAAAGCATGGTCAGTGCCAAACAGTCAATTTGTTACATTGTTCACTTTTGACTGGTTAGACTTGCAAATATATATATATGTAACTAATAAAAAGATGGCTTGAATTTTGTCGGGTGATTTTTCCAGTGGCTGTTGAGCCGTGACTTGAAGGTGTTGAGCGTTGGAGAGATTACTACCTCCTCTGTTAGAGAGTTCCACAGATTTATCACTCTGTTGCTGTAGAAATTACCATATTTGTTTAGTCTGCATGGTCTTTTGAATAGTTTCCTGGAGTGCCCTCTGGTTCGGTTGTCTTCAGCTTCATGAAATAGTTTGCCCTTGTCAAGATTGTCCATGTTGTTTAGTTTTTTGTAGGTTTGAATTACATCAGCTCGATGTCTTCTATATTCGAGAGTTGGGAGTCCGAGTTGTCTTAGGCGTTCTTCGTATGGTACGTTTTTAAGAGTTGGAATCCTTTTGGTCGCTCTTCTTTGGATGTTCTCGATTGTAATTTTGTCGCGGATCAAAAATGGTGATGTAACTGTTGTCGAGTATTCCAGATGAGGTCTAATCAGCGTTTTGTATAGAGT